GGGGGGGTCGCGCTATCGCGCTGCGAGCCCGCAGCTTTGCCCCAAGGACGGGGGAATTTTTCCCTTAAGTCCAGACCCTTTGCGCAGGAGGAGGAAGGAAAGGCAAACCTTATGAAGACGAAGTTGGAATAGGCAAGAAATAGGCAAGAAAAGTACGATCAGCCAAGGAGCTCTCTGAAAACACAGCCTGACTCTTCGAGGCTGAGCAAAAGACTGGGGAGACGCTGCGCGATACCACGTGAGGGGGCGGAGCGTTTCCTCATCTAAAGCTCAGCCTGCAAGAAGAGGACTCAGAAGCACATCCCAGTCTCTGGATGCTCCGAGCGGCTCGAGGGAGAACTCCAGGGTCCCTTCCAATTCTGTTATTCCAATATTCTGACCAATTGCTACCCTCCCCATGAGAATGGAGACATCATAAGCAGCTCTCCAATCTGTGGAGAAACCACATCCCCAAGGAAGGGCAGTGTGGCCTCAAACCCACAACGACGATACAACAATGGAGACAATTTGACCCTTGTACTACGCTGCCAAAGAGACGTGTTCGTGAAACGGGCGTGCTTTGTAAATTTGATAACCAAACCAACAGACACTTGCTGACCACAAGCCCCCCCCCCCCCCCCCCCCGGCCTACCTGGAAGTCATTTCTCTTGATGTTGGGCACGTCCATGTTGTGAGTGGAAGGGCAGATATCTTCGTATTTTTTCCCAGTGAAGATGTCTATGCCGACAAGATGCACCTAGGAGTGCAGCGAAGGGAGAGAACGGCCTTAGCATGATGCGAGGGGGGGAGGAAGAAAAGGGCTGTGGGGTCCTTGGTGCCCTCCATGCTTGGTTGTTTTCCTTGCAGGTGTTTCATGACCCAACCAGGCAGCTTCTTCAGTGCTAGAAGGGAATTGGGAGGAGGAGGAGGGAGGAAGGAGAGGAGGGAGGACTGCAGGGTTCTTCATTTTCTCTGAAATTGGTGGTTTTCTTGCAGACCCAGCTAGGTAACATCATCAGTGCTATAAGAGGGCGGAGTTTCCACTGAGGAGGAGAAGGAATAGGAGGTGGTGGTGCAGGACTGAGTGGTCCTTGTTGCTTTCTGAACTTGGTTGATTTCTTATAGACATTTCATGACCCAACTAGGTATCATCATCAGTGCGAGAAGGGAGCTGGGTTTCTGGAGAGGAGGAGGAGGAGGAAAAGGACTGTGGGGTCCTTGGTGCTCTCTGAGCTTGGCTGTTTTCTTGCAGACATTTCATGACCCAACTCAGTAACAGCATCAGTGCTACAAGGGAGGGGGGTTTGCAGAGAAGAGGGGGAGGAGGAAGAAGAGGAAAAGGACTGTGGGGTGCTAGAAGGGAGTAGGGTTTGCAGGGAGGAGGAGGACGACAACTGTGGGGTCCTTGCTGCTCTCTCTGCTTGGTTGTTTTCTTGCAGATGTTTCATGACCCAACTAGGGAACATCATCAGTGCTAGAAGGGAGGGGGTTTTGCAGAGGAGGAGGAGGAAGCAGCAGCCCTGCCTGGCAAAACAGCTCAAGGGAGCCCCTTTCCAACAACAGGGCACCCCGTCTCTGCTGCCCTGCTCCAATCTTCTCCACCCCACCCTGAAGGGTTGGCGGGGGCTTCCCCCCTCCCTGGGGGGGGGGCAT